TTTCCCCCCCCCCCCCTTTTGTCAATCTTATCATAGAAAATACCTTTGATCCGTTCACACTAATCCTTCATCTGTTGCATTGTTCATGAATTGATATATACCGAACCTTTGTATTTCACATGGATCCCAAAACATGTCAATTGTTACCAACTCAGTGCGCTTGTTGTTCTTTCCTGACTTATGACACTTTGATGTGCTATCCAGATCCCGTCTTGTGCAATTGGAAAGCTGGTGGCAAATTTTGAAGTCATTTCTCACTTGTTCTGACCAAACAAACTCAAGAAGAGGAAGTAATCAAAACAAAAGGAACAAAGTAAAGGACAATGGAAAGAGATGATTCCTAACAAGAAAACTACAAAGTAGAAACCTATCAGATGTGGATACCAACTCTAGTGACCATGTCATGCACATGTTGATTAAGTGGCCTAATCTGTCAAACAAGTCTAATGTTCAACTCTTCTTATACCCCTAAGCCGTGAAACTGGGCTTCAATGCTCTGATTATCTAATCTGATTCATGATCCTTATTCGACTTGTAGTGCCCGAAGGGTTTTCACCATCAAGTCTCTCTCATTTTGTTCTTCTTCTCAACTCACCGTCGGTGCCCATGAGGGTTTTCACCAATAAGACTCTCTCATTTTAATTTCTCTCAGCTTCAATCTCCTTACGGTGCCTGCGAGGTTTTTCACCAATAAGACTCTCTCATTTTTTATTTTTCCTGCCTGGACCGGAGTGTTTCCCCTGATATGAATCACCTCTACTTACTCGACTTGGCATCTTTCGAAGACTGATCGGAAGGTCTTTCTTGGGACCGTAATGTGGACTTTTGGATATGGTTAAAAAGAAAGAGTATCAAAGGCTCAAAACAATTCAAACGGGTTCAAAATTACAACTTTCGGAATCAGATTTCTTACAACAACCACAACTTCTGCCCCAGTTTCTTTGCTTGGGGGACTTTTGGATTTTATTTTGATGGGACCGAACCGTGACGATGCCTACGTATCCTTAAAAGGAATCAGGTCGAACGTAGTTCATGTCATAGGAATTACTTTGTTTGTTGTGACTTTTCTTTTCTTTTTCTTTTCTCTTCTTTACTTCTTTTTGTTATAATTTTTTCTTTTTTTGTTGTTGTTTTCCATCTCTTTTTCTCCCCCCTTTTTTTTTCCTTTACTTATCTTTTGCGCTTGCATTTCTGAACTTTGCTACTGAGTCCAAAAGAGGCGTATGAAAGAAAATAAAATAAGACTCGAAGGGGTAGCAAATGATAAAGTATTTAGATAGCAGAATAAAATGCCTTCGTCATTCCAATCTTCAAAGCATGCCAGATGCAAACAACACAATTTAAACAAACCAAAGAAATCACACATAATATCTTTTGACAGCATCAAAATTGATAGCCACATCTACACATTTGCCTTCTACATCTGTTAAATACAAAGCACCATTGGACAACACTCTCACTCTCATTACCACAGACGACCCCCGTCAATTTGGGCAAACCTGCCTTTAGCTTCAACCCGATGCAGCATGATGCATTTCAATAGGTTTTCTTTATGTTCTATCTGCCCCAGTTTCACACAATTCGGGCTTGAAGTAATCTCAAAATGCCTTTACTTATTTCCCTCAAATGTCCCTATCTTCTTTAAATTTGTTTCATTACTTCATGACTAAACTAACTTTTCAAGACCAGGCTGGGAGTCATGCGTGCATGTCATATCACTAGAGTCAACAGGAAAAGAACTATAAAAGAAAAGAGAACTAAACAAAATTGACAGAAAATAGAAAAATTGCATTAGACAGATGGTGAAAGGGCTTGAACAACAAAACAAGTAAACTAAACTGGGGTTACAAACCTGAAACAAACCTAGACAACACTAAACGAGCTACTACGACTAAACAAACTAGGCAAAATAAAAGGATATAAGGGTTTGAGT